GAGCTCCCCCTCCACGAGGAGCCGGGGCCGCACAGGCGGCATCCTGCCAGCCGCAGCCTGGGGCTGGGCTGAACCACACGGCTGTCTCACCGCCCCAACCTGGGGCCATGGTGGCACCTGGAGCCATGCTGAGATGAACCAGAGAGACCCTGCACTGTATCCTGGTATGTCGGACCAGGCCCGGCCTCGGGCTCTGCGGGGATCCTGCATCCTCACGGCTCTGAGGGGATCCTGCACCCTCACGGCTCTGAGGGGATCCTGCACCCTCCACGGCTCTGCAGGGATCCCGCCCCCCGGGGATCCTGCACCCTCACGGCTCTGAGGGGATCCTGCACCCTTCATGGCTCTGAGGGGATCCTGCACCCTCACGGCTCTGTGGGGATCCTGCACCCTTCACGGCTCTGAGGGGATCCTGCACCCTTCATGGCTCTGAGGGGATCCTGCACCCTCACGGCTCTGAGGGGATCCTGCACCCTCACGGCTCTGAGGGGATCCTGCACCCTTCATGGCTCTGAGGGGATCCTGCACCCTCACGGCTCTGTGGGGATCCTGCACCCTTCACGGCTCTGAGGGGATCCTGCACCCTTCATGGCTCTGAGGGGATCCTGCACCCTCACGGCTCTGAGGGGATCCTGCACCCTCACGGCTCTGAGGGGATCCTGCACCCTTCATGGCTCTGAGGGGATCCTGCACCCTCACGGCTCTGTGGGGATCCTGCACCCTTCACGGCTCTGAGGGGATCCTGCACCCTTCATGGCTCTGAGGGGATCCTGCACCCTCACGGCTCTGAGGGGATCCTGCACCCTCACGGCTCTGAGGGGATCCTGCACCCTTCATGGCTCTGAGGGGATCCTGCACCCTCACGGCTCTGTGGGGATCCTGCACCCTTCACGGCTCTGAGGGGATCCTGCACCCTTCATGGCTCTGAGGGGATCCTGCACCCTCACGGCTCTGAGGGGATCCTGCACCCTCACGGCTCTGAGGGGATCCTGCACCCTTCATGGCTCTGAGGGGATCCTGCACCCTCACGGCTCTGTGGGGATCCTGCACCCTTCACGGCTCTGAGGGGATTCTGCACCCTCACGGCTCTGCAGGGATCCTGCACCCCCACGGCTCTGAGGGGATCCTGCACCCTCACGGCTCTGCGGGGAACTGATCCCTCACGCTATGAGAGGATCCCCAACCCCTCACAGCTGAGGCGACCCCAGTCCCTCACAGCTCTGAGGGGATCCTGAGCCCCTCAGCTCTGAGAGGACCCCAAGCCCTCACAGCTCTGAAGGGAGACTGATCCCTCACAGAGCTCAGAGGATGCTGCACCCTCATGGCTCTGAGAGGATCCCACATCCTCACAGCTCTGAGGGGACCCTGATCCCTCATGGCTCTGAGGGGATGCTGAGCCCCCATAGTTCTGAGGAGACATTGGTCCATCACGGCTCTGAGGGGATCCCCTGGTGCATCATGGATCTGAGGGGATACCAGTCCCTCCCAGGTCTGTGGGGATCCCAAGCTCCCATAGCTCTGAGGAGATGCTCGTCCCTCCCAGCTCTGAGAGGACCCCCCGTCCCTCCCGGCTCTGAGAGGACCCCCGGTCCCTCCCGGTTCTGAGGGGGACCCCCGGTCCCTCCCGGCTCTGAGGGGACCCCCGGTCCCTCCCCGTTCTGAGGGGGATCCCCAATCTCTCCCGGCTCTGAGGGGACCTCGGTCCCTCCCGGTTCTGAGAGGACCCCCGGTCCCTCCTGGTTCTGAGGGGACCCCCAGTCCCTCCTGGCTCTGAGGGGACCCCCGGTCCCTCCCCGTTCTGAGGGGGATCCCAAATCTCTCCCGGCTCTGAGGGGACCCTCGGTCCCTCCCCGTTCTGAGGGGGATCCCAAATCTCTCCCGGTTCTGAGGGGACCCTCGGTCCCTCCCTGCTCTGAGGGGACCCCCGGTCCCTCCCGGCTCT